AAAAAAAAAAAAAAAAAAATGGAAGAATCAGGGCAAGGAATACAGCTCAGCGGTACAGCATTTGGCAGGCAAGCGTCAAGTCCTGAGTTCAATTCCTGGCACCAAATAAACAAATAAAAAGTAAAACAAAATATTTTTAATCATTTATTTGGTATAGGGTCTCGCTGTGCAGTTCAGACTCACAGTGATCCTCCTATCTCAGCCTGCCCAGTGCTGGGATTACAAGTGTGTGCCACCACGCCCAGTTCAAAGGCCAGTATAGCATGCAGGACCAGGAATTGAACCCAAGTCCTTGCACTTACCAGGCAGGTGCTTAGACCACTGAGCTATCTCCCCAGCCCAATACACAAAAATTTTAAAAAGAACTGAACCAGGCATGGTAGCACATGGTTTCATCCTAGCATTCTGAAAGGCTGAGGTAAGAGGACCACAACTGGGAGCCAGCCTGGGCAAATTAGCAACTTATTAAGACTGTGTCTCAAAATTAAGTATTTTTAAAATGGGCTGGGGGTGTGGTTCAGTTTGAAGGACTTGGGTTATATCCCTAGTACCACAAAAAAGGTAACTATGAAATAATTATTCTTTAAAAACTAATTTTGGCTTATTGCTTAAATTATATGAGTATAACTAATATTTTAAACTAAAACTTCAGTTTCGAATCCTAGAGTTACATGATTCAGACTAAACTATCATACCTTCTTTTTGGGGCACTCTTTCCTGCATAGGCCTGACTGAGGGGCCATGCTTTTGTGTTAAAGTTACTTCATATGACTCTCTGTTCTTTTGTCTTAATTCCTCATATGTAATATTTTTTCTTTTGGGACTTTCTTCAAGGTTGGGATCAGGTCCTAAAACAACAAACAGTTAATAAATGGTGATAAAAGGATTTGGATAAACCCAAAGCAACTCAATTTTGTAAATGCGTATCTACAGAATAAAGTTACAATAAAGAATCAACTTATTAGTACCACTTTAAAGGTGCTATACTTTCTCAAGGTAATTATAAAACTAAAATCTACTACCCCTCATACTTTTAAGATTTTATTTCTAAAACTTACAATCAACATCAAAATTTTAAAATGTAAACACTAGCCAAAAAACAGTGGATATCATAATATACAACCAAGTAATTTAAGCTTTCAAAATTCTAGTGTTTTAAACTGGATTATTTACACTGTGTTTGCAATTAAAGAAAAGTGCCGCTCACTTAAGCAGCACATATACTAAAACTGGGACTAAAGAGAAATATTACACTGGTGAAAGTGAACAAAACTTGACATGTTGTAAATTTTATTATTTCCACAGTTAAATGTTCTAGTAAGAGTCTATATGCAAACTCTAGTTACTTTTAAAAAATTAATTTGCCATCTGTATATTTAATCATAAGCACCTAAAGACATCTATTGAAAAGTCTAAACCACATCTTTGACCCAGAGCAGGCATTCACTTGGGTCTTAAAGATACAATAATCAGGTGGGAAAAAGGTAACAACCGTTCAGCCTGGGAATCTGCATTTATTCTTTATCTTTCCCAAAGTCAAGTATGAACAATATACATCATCAAAGAGACACACACACACAAAAAAAAGAGGCACTGAGGAAAACAAACTTGGTACTCTTTAGTACTGTCAGGATCAAAAACTTGGGGGCCTGGGAGATGGCTCAGCAGAATAAGCACTTCCCTGGCAAGCGCAAGGGCCTGAGTTCAATCCTCGGTTCCGCCAAACAAACAAAAAAAAGGATCAAAAACTGAACAAACTGTATAAAATGTATAAATTGCACAAAACATATTTAAATATTTTTAAAGAAATTAATTAATGGGGCCAGGGAGCTGGCTCAGTGGAATAAGTGCTTCCCTGGCAAGCGTAAGGGCCTGAGTTCAATCCCCGGTACCACCAAAAAAAAAAAAAAAAATTAATGACAACATAACATTCAGTGAACTACTAGTTAAAAAGCCTAATACACCATACCAACATTTCTCAGTAAAAGGCTTATCGCTTTCATAGCATTTTAAAACACATTGTAAAAAAGTTTACAAAAAGTACTCATTTAGAAATCAATGGGGCTGGGGAGATGGCTCAGTAGAATAAGTGCTTGCCTGGCAAGCACAAGGGCCTGAGTTCAATGCCCAGTTCCACCAAAAAAAAGAAATCAATGGTTAGGTTCTGAGGAATAATGAATTTTTCAAGCAACATAAGTATACAATAACAAATTTTCTACTTCAGCATTTTGGAAAACTGATACATATATAAAGCAAAGAGGATTTAAGTTTCTAGTTTTAATAAACTATGACTAAAATCTTAAATTTTCTGGATAAAAAATATTGTAATCTCACAATGGGTTTAAAATACTTTGTACTGGGCCGGGGTGATGGCTCAGTAGGATAAGCACTTGACTGGCAAACGCAAGGATCTGAGTTCAATCCCCGGTTCCGCAAATAAATAAATAAATAAATAAAAATTTAAAAAAATAAAATAAAATACTTTGTACTGCACTATTAATTAGTAATTATTGAACTCAATTCCCTTCACCACAAGTATTATTATTTTCCCACCAGTGATATTAAATTTTTGTGCTTTAGAAGTCAGGGCTGTCATCCTCATCCTCCTGATAACCAATGAATATCCTTGGGCAAATCACTAACCTCCTTTCAATTCTGGTTTTTCCAACTATGAAATATGATAATTTGATTATATGACCTTTAGAGTTCCTTCCAGGTCTAATGTTTTTCTTATCAAAAAAATATAATGTATTATTTAGAAATTCATATAATGACAACATAAATCAGTAAGACTGCAAGAAATTTTGTCCAATTATGAAAGTATCTCTGCACTTCTTTGGGAAGGTTTTAAGAGCTGGAAGGAATACAAAATAACATTGTTTTACATCTAGTGGTAGTGTAAGTCTCCCAACAGCTTTGACGGAGTGCTTTCTACTTTGAAAAGATTAGTAATTCTTTTAATTCCTGGTAAAAATCAGAAATAAAGGGGAAACAACTTAACCAAGAGGAGAAGGCATTTTGGTAGAGAAGGACAGTATCAGTGCAAAGAAAAGGAAAGCACTTCTGGTCCAAATGGAGATCAGTGAAAAGAGGACAACACTGATTTGGAGAAGGGGGCCTGGAAGCAAATCAGTGGACAGAGGAGTGGCTGCTGTAGAAGGCATAAAACAGTACTGAAATATGGGTCTAACAGTGACTGGAGGGTTGACAGCAAAGGAATTTTTGTTTTCATGTGGAAAAGAAATGATATAACATGAAATTTTCTAATGTAAACGGTCACAGGGCTGTAAATTATTATAAAGGAAGAGTTGGGCATGACTAGATTATACAATAAATGGATCTGAACATGAGATGAGAAAACATCAGACACAGTGAAGGACAGGACCGCTGCCTTGGAAGACAAGACTACTTTAAGCACTCTTCCAAATCTCCCTTCCTATTCTAATATGATGATGCCTTTGCCTGAACCATGAGAACAGGGAACTAAGGACAAAAAGACTCAACAACTTTTATCTACTCTACAGTTTCTTTAATTATCTAAATATCCAATCTAGTTTTTGTTTTACAAAAGGTTAATAATCACCTTGGGGCCTTTCATTGTAATGTAGCACAGCCCAACAAAACTCTCTGCAGTAAGAATGTTCTACATTGTCCTGTCCTATATAGGAGGCACTAGCACATGTGACTACTGTGAGCAGTTAAAATGCTACCAATAGAACTAAGGAAATAAATTTTAAATTTTATTTTAATTAATTTATATAGCCTATATTCTGATGTTTCTGCATTTTTTCTTTTTTTTTTTTTTTTTGCGGTACCAGGGATTGAACTCAGGACCTTGCACATGCCAGGCAAGCGCTTATTCTACTGAGCTATCTCACAGCTCCTCTGCATTTTTTCATCCCTTCCTTGACCTGCAATTTTCCCTCTTTCTCTTTAACCCACATATAAATTCAAATCTTCCCACTTTGAACAAACAAAAACCTCCAAGCCCTAATTGTTTCTTTAGTGCTATTTGCTCCTCAGTCACAGATTTACTAAATTCACTTCAAAGCAAGTGTTTTTCAAAGAGGGACCTGTATTCCCTTATCCGAGCCCTCGGGTTAAACATGTTTCACAATCAGCTTCTCAGGTTTTAGAAAAACATTATAGTATATATCCTATACTTAATAGCTATCCATTCAGAGGCTTTGGATAGGAACAAGTAGTAAGCAAATACACTAATGGTCCTACGACAAAATATAGGAAACAAATACCACTTTCTAAATGTAAGTAGAGGGCTGGTCAAATAGCTCAGGAGATTATAAAGTGCCTGCTTAGGCAGACACAGGAGCTGGGAGTTCAATCCCTGGGCCTTCCGTGCCAGCCCCACTCCTGGGGCATGCTGAGCCACCAATTGAGACTGGGCAACTGGGCATGGTGGCGTGAGCCTGTAATCCCAGCACATGGGAGGCTATAAACAGGAGGACCACTACCAGTCCAATCTACGCAGTGAGATCCTATAGACTCTATTCTAAATACAATAAATAAATAAATAAAAGTAGAGGCTGTATTTATATAATTTATGCTAGCTTAGGTCAGAGTTTGCTAGCAAATGAGTTCAGGTCACAGTTTATTTTTTTAGCAGTGCTTGTGGTCAAACCCAGAGCCTCACATATAACTAGACAAGCACTCTATACCTGAGTTGTATCTTCAGCACTCGGGTCAGATTTTACTTAAAAATACAACGACAAGAGCCTAGCATGGTGGTGCGTGCCTATAATCTCTGCCAGCTGAGACAGGCAGATCACTCTGAGTTTGAGGCCAGCCTTGGCTACATAGTTCAGGGACAGCCTAAACTACACAGCAAGACTGTCTCAAAAAACAAACAAGAAAACCCCAGAAAATAGCTTTGTGGATTTCTGGATTTTAGACAACGGAATTGTAGGCCTATACTTCTTGTTTCTAATTCTTCACCTTTTTTTAGTGCATACTAAAAAGCAAACTAACATTTGTTGAGGATGTTATTTGCCAGCACTACCTCTAAGAATTTCGTCTAATTTCAATAGTTCTTAAACAGAGATACTAGGCCAGAGAGATAGCTCAGTAGAGTAAGTGCTTGTCCGGCAAGCACAAGGTCCTGAGTTCAATCCCCTGACCTGCAAAAAAAAAAAAAAAAAGGAAGGTAAACAGGGAGATACTGTTATCTACATTTAAGAGATCAAGAAACTGAAGGAAATATAAATTCGTTATTTGTCATGACTATAATTATAATAATGTCATACAGCTAGCAGATGTCAGTCATTCAAGTCCAGACCTTACTCTGAAGTTGATGTGGTCTCACCGAATGAGGTATACAAAGTTAAGTATTTACACCAACTTCACAATGCATTTTCATGTAGATTTTCTCACGAGACAAAAGTCCTGTAAGGCAGGAAATTCTTCTTACATTATGGACAAGAAAGCTGAAAGCTTTTAAGCCTAGCAAACCAAACATAACCTTAGCCTTCTTGAAGCCTCTATTTTCAGAAACATGCTGTATCATTTCTTCACTGAACTTGTATTTTCAATCACTGACATCTAGAAGTAATTTATTCTTGCATTTCTGTATCTTCTAAGAGAGTTTCTCAAAGACAAGAACCAAGATTTGCTCATCTTTACTTCTTCCATATCTACCTGACACCTACAGTCCCCAAAGAATGTTGAATGAGTGAAGAAACAAAGGAAAGAAACAAATGTGCTGAGTTAGGCTGACAGACGAGTGTGGGTTGATGGCCGATGGAGGAACATACAGATGACATCCAGCAGAAAAGTTCATCAAATAAAGTTTATACATACGTTGTACCATAAAATGTTGAAATTCATTTCAAGAGAAGTTTCTACCTTGGGCAATATGATCAGAAATACCAGTAGGAGTGGATTCATTCATAGAAGCACTGAATGGAATTGGCTCATAATGAGGAAGCATCTCCTTTTCTATGCTGTCTGCTGCTGGGGAGGTCACAAAAGAGGACTGACCACTCACATTTGAATCATATTTTGACTTTTGAGAATATTGCCTGTGAAAGAACATTACATTGTATAAGAACAAAGAGCCACTACCACAATCAATATCTTAAAGATGTGTTAAGGTACAAAGACAAGTTATTGCATTTCTGGAATAATCATAAGGTTAACACAGTTATCAAACAGCAAAAAAGAAGTGGTTCTATCATAAAAAACATCCTAAGTCACTCATTGGGCTTATAAATTCAATATAGGGAAAAAGAAAACACAAAATTTTCTAAATATGAGGCTTTGAAGACAATATGAATGTTTTTAAAGTTCTCGGAAAGAAAAAGTACTTCAGATTAGTTCTAACTTCCCATATAAATTGGAATGTGTTACTTTCACAGCTAGGAGTCAATATAAACACTCATTTTAGCAAATATAAGAAAATATTATCACTCATGAAGCTCTACATTGATTGTCATTTACAACTGATCTACCAATTCTTTATCTACCAAGGCAGATTCATATATCCATACTGTACAATTCAAAAACTAAACCAGTCTGAAGAAAACTAGTAACAGATCAAACACTGCTTTATTGGACTTACTAGTTTGAAATTTTTAACATTTGAAAGTCTGAAAAGTGCTTTAAGGGCTGGGGAAATGACTCAGTAGAATAAGGGCTTCCCTGGCAAGCACAAGGGCCTGAGTTCAATCTCTGGTTCCACAAAAAAAAGAAAAAAAAAAAAAAGCTTTAAAATTCTGATTACAACAAAGCTGTATTACAGAAAATATGGAATAGGGGGAAAACTCATACATCACAAACATTATTACTACCAATATTTTTCAAAGTATATGCTTTTCTTTAAAAGATATATATATATAATTTCATATTTTATCCTTTCATTTATCAAAAGCATTGCATCATGATGCTTCAAGACTTCATGATTTTAAGTAATCTTATAATGCCCACCAAATTATTAGCTAAAAACAGTCATTCTCCATTATTGGAAGTTAAGTTGATTCCAGTTTTTTTCTACATAAAGTTGTATACAACTCTGTGCCTATAATTGTTTTATCTTTCTTTTGGACCCACAGAGTTCAGTACAAAGAACTCAAAGGATTGCAAATTTTATAAATCCTCAAATATGCTGACAAAAATACTATCCAAAATATTTGTACTAATGTGTACCAGAAATTATGGTACTAGTTCACTTCTAAAATTATATAATGAGGGCCGTGGGGCTACCTCAGCAACATAAGGGGCTATCGGCCAAGTGCAAGGTCCTGAGTTTGATCCCTGGTACCAAAAATGAAATGAAATCATATAATCAAAAATTGTGATCAGCTCATGGTGGTGCTACTCAGGATGTAGATGAGGGCAAATTACAGATGTCCTGTCTCAAAAATTAAAAGGTCTATAGGGATATAACTCAGTGCCCAGGCCCTGAGAAGAGAGTTAAACTGATCTGTAATATGAAGGCAGATTAGCAAAACAAGTATGAATGTATTATGTGTTAGATAAAAATAGCCATTTCCTATTTTTTTCCTATTTTAAAAACAAAAGAGAAGGGGCTGGCCAGATAGCTCAGTTAAAGCCCACTTTCAGGGAGACACAGGGACCGGGGTTCCATCCCTGGCATGCTGTGCCAGCCAGGGAGCATTGAGGCAGTGACTGAGACTGGGTGTGGTGGCGCCCACCTGTAATCATGCCTGTAATCTCAGGGCTTGAGACGCTGAAAACAGGTGGCTCACTACAAGTCTGATTTGAGACCCTGTACTAAATACAAAAAACCCTACAAAACTCTAAAGAGGATAAAAACCAAAGTTGAAATCTGTTAAGGGATGAGATAAAATTTGGAGATTCAAAAATAAGTTCAAAATACAGAAAACTGGAGCCAGGGAGATGGCTCAGTAGAATAACACCTGGCAAGTGCAAGGGTCTGAGTTCAAGCCCCGGTTCCTCAAAAATAAATAAATAAATAAATAAATAAAACCCTTTATTCTGGGACATGTACTCTCAATTGGATGAAACTGTATTCAAATCAAAACAACTGTATTCAAATCAAAACAACAGTAGCCAAGTCTTGCTCTACTTCTTAAATCAAATTACTTAAAGGAAACAGCAAGTTTCCAAAGGCCTGGGCACTGAGTTACATCAAGTTGTTTAATTTCTTAAAATTAAAATCCTTAACATCAGATTCTGACCTACCCAGGTGGTGAAGATCGGCGCGTTTGTCCTGATCGTAAAGCTTCTCCCAGAGGGGAATTTTCAAGATTCTTGAACTTTTCTTGGCAAGTTCTCACATAAGAAAGTTTTCCAGCAAAGTATCCCATGATACAAGCAACTTATTTATAAAATCAAACAAAAAGCATAATTAAATAGGCCTTTTTCAGCAATAATCTTGTCTAAAACAACATTTTAAGGGTTTTTTTTTTTTTTTTGCTCCGAATGCCCTCAGGGGTGGTTTGGCTGGCTGGAGTGTTGTGGGGATCAAATTACAGCAACCTGAGGCTGACAGCTTTGTGGAAGCAGCCACTTAAACAACTGAGCTAGGCTGGTGAGATGGCTCAGTGGTCTAAAGCACCTACTTAGAACAAGCTTAGCAAAGCGCAGGGACCGCGGTTCGATCCCCAGCACCACATGCCAGCCAGCCCCGCCCCCTGGTGGACTGAGCTGGCCACACACACACAAATAAATAAAATTAAAAAAAACACAAAACACAACTGAACTAAGGCCAGGTCTCCTAAAACAACATTTTAAAAAACGTTATCTTTTACATTTCTTTGATTTAGAAAGACTCGAGTTTTTCTAAAATAATGATAAAAGGACCTCAATTAAATGAAGCTTGGGGCCAGGGAGATGGCTCAGTAGAATAAGTGCTTGCCTGGCAAGCACAAGGGCCTGAGTTCAATCCCCGGTTCTGCCAAAAAAAAAAAAAAAATGAAGTTTAAAGTGTTCAGAGAAAGATTCTATGAACATAATTTAGTTTCCCTAAATAAATCAAAATAAAGCAGTGGTAAAGTACTTATAATTCTAATATACTAATTATTAACACACACAGGAAAGACATGGTGAAGGTATGATGGAAAGAGGAGTGGATAAGGAATCACATCAAACATTCTAGTCTAGTAGCAGGAATTCAAGCCATTTTTCTTATAAAATGGGAATAATTACAATTTTCTTATAAAATGGGAATTACTATTTGTTCAATCACAAGATTATTTTAAAAATGAAATCAGGTACACTAAATCCCTTATAAATAATGAACTATAAAATGTAACTTAAGTATTTATCTGTGCAACCTATTCACAATATAAAAGAGGCGAACCTGAAAAGATTCATGAAAAGCCTTAGGTACTTTAAAAAGAGTAATTTCTTTTTATTAGCCATATAGCTAAATTAAAATTAAAGACTTGAAACAAATTAAGTTTAATTCTAAATATATTTGTGGATTAATCAGAATATTTGTACAACCCTTTCCTTACAGACAAGAATTTATTTTCAAGTACTATGTATTTAAAAAATTTCAAATTATTTTATTATTAAGAAGGAAAAAAACTGATTTCTATGCTAGAAGGAAAAATCCAAGTAATCCATTCAAAAAAAGTTTACTCATCTGTCAGCATGAAACTACATAATGAGCATAACAATACATTTGATAAAAATTAATGATTTTACTTAGGTTAAAAAACAAAAAAATTATAGTGTTGTTCATACTCACATATAAGTTTAGGGATGGAACCAAATCTGGGATGACTTGAAAGAATTCCTACAGAACAAAAAGTTAAGTATTTCTGAGTAACATCGTTAGGAGAAAAAAATCAGTTCAGACTACCTTTACATATTAGCAGGCAACATTAGTTCACTTTAGAACCCAAAAGAACTCTAAGCTATTTAAAAAGAAAACCAAATGAATTTAGTATCAATAGATACATGAAAAAAAAAAAAAATCCAAAGGACAGATACATGAATAGTGGATCATTTGATACAAACTAACAAGCACAACAAAAAAGAACTTCTACATAGCAAGAACAAATAAATCACACTATACCTTAAAAGATACAATTTACTGTAACATCAAAACCACTCAAGACCAAGAATACAATTAAAGATATTAAAGATATTTATATTTAAAAGCCATAACATTTCCTCAGGAGTACAAGCCAAACAAGAAGAAACATACCATACCCAAGAACTGAAGTGTCAATTCTCCAAGAATTAACTTATAAATTCAAAGCTCAAATTAAAATCAAAGCAAGGTTTTGCTTATACTAAAAATCATGTGCAAACAAAAGGATGAGGGTTGTATTGAATAAAACTGAAGCAGACATCAACACCTAGGATAAAACTACAGTAATTAAGACAGTTGGGCATAAGTGCAAGAACAAGTAAACAGACTCAAACTAGGAAAGTCTAGGAATGGGGCTGGGAGATAGCTCAGCTGTCTAAGCACCTGCCTGGCAAGCACAGTGACCTGAGTTCAATCCATGGTACCTCATGCTGTGCCGGCCCTGGAACCAGGTGTGGTGGGACACGCCTGTAATCCCAGTGCTAGGGAGGCTGAGGCAGGAGAATCACTAGGAGTCTGAGCTGTGTAGTGAGACCCTGTATCAAATAAATAAATAAAATTTATTAAAAAAGAGAAGTCCAGAAATGGATGTACACGTATGCTGTTACTAGACCTGTAAGAAGAAAAAATGTATCTACCCCATACTATATTCAAAAATAATTCCAGAAGGCTTGAAAATTTAAACATGAAAGAGCATAAGGAGAAACCATAAGAGTAGCAAGAATGGAAGTAAACTTAGCAAAGGCTAATAAAACTCTTTATAACAGTTAAAGTAACTGCAGACAAAGGTAGATAGCTTACAGAAAAATTTAAGGGTTTGAATATGATATAAGTGGATAAGGCAGACAAAGAATAAAACTAAAGGATAAGGCTCTGATTTTCTGAATGACAGTGATGTCTTTTAGACATGGCAAAAAAAGCAGGAATTGGTTTTAGCAAAGGAAGTTCAACTCATGGAGCCAAAACAAGGGCCACCAATGTAAGACATCCAGAATATACTGCAGATCCCTAGACTACAGATAATCTTGGAGATTGTTACGGCTTCATCTGAATGTCCCCAAAAGGATCATCTCTTCATAGGTGAGGCTTTTTTTTTGGGGGGGTGGGGGGAAGAGATAATTAGTTCATGGTGGTGTTAACCTTGTAAGTGGATCTACCTACTGAGTTCACAGCAGAATGTACTATTGGAAAAGTACAGCCTGGCTGGAAGAAGTCACTTGGGGGTGACTTAGAACGCCGTTTCTCTCCTCTGGAGCTTTCAAAGTCCAATCTGGGGGCCACGAGGTGAGCATCATTCTTACTCCTCACCCACCAGACCTTTGAAATCCTGAGCCAAAATAAACCTCCTTCTTTATTTATTTATTTTTTTTAATTTTATTTATTTGTGTGTGTGTGTGTGTGTGTGTGTGTGTGTGTGGCCAGCTCAGCCCACCAGGGGGCAAAGCTGGCTGGTATGTGGTGCTGGGGGATTTGAACAGCGGTCCCTGTGCTTTGCTAAGCTTGTTCTAAGTAGGTGCTTTAGACCACTGAGCCATCTC